ACAGACTTATTTCAACCCCACGTCTGTTAGTTGTTAGCACAGTGATGTGAAAAAGCAATGATAGCAATTTTTTTTTTCAAATATTTTGGCAAACAACTGATTAGTTCAGTTGTTCTGCAACAATAAATGAACTGAGTTGTATTAAGTTAGGGTGCATGGATTTTTTTGGATTTTTTTATATATATATTTTTGAAGAAAAAACGAGGAAAAATGCATTCTGTGTATTTTATTCCCTTTACTCTCACACCACTAAATGTAACCCAGTGCAACTAATCTCATTCAAATCCTTTCAATGTTCTGATTAGTTAAGTTGTTCTGCAACAATAAATAAACTGAGTTGTATGAAGTCAGGGTGCATGCTGATTTGTTTAGCTTTTTTGCAAATATTTTGGCAAAAAATATATTTTTATCCCCTTTACTCTCCTTCCGCTGAAAGCAACCCGTCGCAACTAGTTGTTTTCACGACTAACCTAACTTGTCAATGGAATCCACTGAAAGAAAACATAGATCATGCAATACATGCAGAGGAACACACTGCTAAAAACAAAAAAAGGAAGGTGGAGGGAACATAATTTTTTATGGATTCTTTTTCAACAGTAAAGAACTGTGAACCTGGTCAGAGTTTAAGGGAAATCTGAGCTAAATAAAGGGAATTTCTGAAAGTAAACCATTTAGAGGATGTTGACCTTTTAGCAGTATAACAGTCATAAACATAGAGTCTCACTGACCTACTTCATCAATTAAAAAAAACATCACCTGAGACTTGATGTATCAAGTCATGGAAATAAATGTTTGCTAAATTAGGAAATGCATTTCTAATTTGTATGTTGATGCAAAATTTACTCATTATGTCAATAATGACCTGCTAATCTACATTATAAAAGAAAAACAAAAACCCTGATAAATGATGCATATCATCAAAGGATGGCAGCTGGAACAAAGGAGAAAAACTGTGGGAATGACTCCTTATAAACATCTAATGTATAAAGGAAACCATGGGTCTGCATTGGTCAGGTTTCATTGTGATAGTTTTCAAAATCTGAGGATATCAGGTCTCTAGAGGTTTGTACTCTGCACCCTTCTTCACTTCTTTGCAGATATTGCCTTGGTTTCATGTTGGGTTACATTAACAAGCTGGAAAAAACGCTTGGATTAATCTTAAGTTTCAACATGAATGTAATTCTCTCCGTTCAGCCTCCAATTAGTTGTCTGAAAACTACCTTAAAACAGACAAACATCATAATGTTTCCACCACCAAATGTAAAAAAAAAAAAAAATCATATTCAAATCTTTTCTGTAATTTGTTGATTACAGTAGTTCAGTTGTTCTGCAACAATAAATAAACTAAGTTGTATGAAGTTAGGGTGCATGCCCTAACCGTTTCCTATTAATTTCCTATGTTAGTCCTAAACCACTATGGATGTAATACTAATAATCTAATTTAGTGGCAAAGACAGAATAATGTATTTACTAAGGAGCATTGCTGGAAACACAAATGCAATGAAGATCTATTTAACAGATCTGTAACATTTGGAAAAATGTTAGTTATCTTGATGGTTAATCATTAAAATATGGAAAATTTTTACAAGTCTGATGGCATAATTTTAAATGACTATGCTTGTGTTCATTCATATAATTTTTCCACTACTATACTGTTTAAAAGTAATATATTTAGCAATCCTATGTGATGTCACAGATTTTTCTATCTTTGCTAAATTTCTATGAAGTGTATGCTAATGATGAAAAAATCTGATCCCTAATACGGAATGGAGTCTGCTCTAGACAACGAGATTATTATTAATAAATAATAAAGTTAGCTTTTTATAGTAATTCTTTTTTTGAGTTATGTGATTAAATCTGTGGGAGTGTTTTTGTCTTATAATCTAAGTATTTCCAGGGAATTCTTAAAGGGATAGTTCGGTATTTTTGACATGAATCTGTATGGCATCCCCATCACCAGTGGCATGCAATCACACTGACTTACCCCTGGCAGCGTCCTGTGAGCAGAGTTATCGTCCAGTTTTGGTCAAGCCGAAAGTAGTCCGGCAGGTTTTTAGGACCAGCGAAATAAAACTTTTCTCTTCCCAAAACATTATGTGTTCAAAAGAGTGATATTTTTGCATCCCAAAAACATTGTAGTGGAAAAAGTCACACGTCGTTATCAATTGGTCCTATTTTCTCTCTGTTCGTATCACTGCGCGCCGTCATTCAGACAGCGAGCTCAACAACAGCCAGATGCATGTCTCCCTCCGCCTAGCTCCTAGCTGGGCGGACCGAGACATGCATCTGGCTGTTGTTGAGCTCGCTGTCTGAATGACGGCGCGCAGTGATACGAACAGAGAGAAAATAGGACCAATTGATAACGACGTGTGACTTTTTCCACTACAATGTTTTTGGGATGCAAAAATATCACTCTTTTGAACACATAATGTTTTGGGAAGAGAAAAGTTTTATTTCGCTGGTCCTAAAAACCTGCCGGACTACTTTCGGCTTGACCAAAACTGGACGATAACTCTGCTCACAGGACGCTGCCAGGGGTAAGTCAGTGTGATTGCATGCCACTGGTGATGGGGATGCCATACAGATTCATGTCAAAAATACTGAACTATCCCTTTAAATGTCTTCATAGTATTTAAAGAAGAAATCAGTAATTTATTCAAGCATTTGTGAGCCATAACAGTGAAGAAACACACACAGTAATCATGCAGTCAGAGGTCCTCTCAATTCTCTTATAATGCTTTGTTACAACAATTTACACAACAGATGTGATGAAGAAATTAGGATATAAAAGGTACACAATTGTTGCAACCCCAAGCAGGGAACGAACCTGCACCCTCAGAGTTTCTGCACTCCAGGCTTTTGGGATAAAAAAGAATTTAAAAAGGTTTAATTAATTTGCTTATTTGAAGTTTCTAACAAATATCAGGAATATCTTGCAGAACTTTCTATTTTTTGGTTCTAATTGTTTTAAAAATCTAATTAACCGAAAAGAAAGCCAATTTTATTTATTTTTTACTCAGTTAGATGATGGACACCTAACTGCTAAATTAGGTTCCTTTCATTCCTGGATTAATGATAATTCAGAAGTGGTGATCAATTGAAAATTCTCGTTTCATAGTAAGTTTTTAAACCATCTTGAAAGACCACTTTAATTGACACTTTAGTATTAGAAACCCTTTGTATAAGACAGCAGACATGGTGAACCCAGCTCACATTAATCTTTTAAGTTAACAGGTTCTAATAGCCACATTAGATATACATATGTGTTATAATGCTCATTTTCCAAGTTATACATAACAAATCTGTTTTTGCTTTATCTTGGGTTTTATTCTTAAATTATGCAATAATCCAATTAAACCCTCACGACTTTCCTAATACATATGAAAACATGGAGAATGTTAAGATTGTTTGTCAGGTAAGATTGACACCGATAGGTTCAGTAGCTTCTAAGATATTAACCACAGGGTACGCACATTCTCAGATGTAAAAGGTTAAAGTCCAAATTAGTCAAATAGTCTATAAAAAATGTTATATGAATGCGAAGGATTAAAGAAGCATTTTCCTCAGTTCCGTTCCCAGTCAAGACTGATGATTGAGTGATAATAAAGGTAAACATACAGAGGAATTACTATTTTCACAACCGACATATCATTGCTGCACTTGAAATGAAAATGTTCTAAAAGCTGTATAAAACAAAATTTTGTTTTGTATACACTCTGTATACAAAATGACAATACAAGCTGTGTAAGTCATATACCTATGGATAGCGGTACATTTACAGCAGAAAGTTGTTTTTTTGCAAACTTAACCATAACAGAACTTCTACATTGCAAAATAGAATAAAAAATAAAAAAAACATAGAAGTTGTGGTTATTAAGGTACATACCTTTCCTTATCTCACGTTTTTACACAAGGGTCATAAAAAAAGGATTTTCTCTTCTAGTCAACAACTTGTAGGAAATTGTTTTTAAAGTTACAGAACATCTAAATTTACAACTTATTCCAACCACCTCAAACTAAAGTTACCACAAAAAAGACAAGTAATCCATGGAGCAATGCCACCACCTCGTGACAACCCACTGTAACAACAATACACCAATCAATTAGCCAGACATGAGAAATTAAGCATTTCTTTCCTTGACTACCGACCTGAAGCTCAAATAGGATTTTTTCTGTTATATTAATTATTAACTCACCACCTTTAGTCTTAACAGATTCCAAACAGCATTTCTTTGATTGCTTTAATATAAGATAGGGGTCTTCCACGTTTTCCAGGCCAAGGACGCCCAAACTGATGGCGAAATGGAGCGGGGACCCCTTATTATATATATTATATGAAATTGTTATATGAAACTTGTCCTATGGTCACTCTATTACAGATAGTGTAATGTAACGAAAGTAATTTAGCCCTGAGATTATTAAAGTAGTTCTTATTCTGATTCCTGGTTGATGGAACAGGTGTTGTGAATGAAACCGTGCCCAACTTGAAAGAGCTCCTGTGTGTCGCTGAATGTGTGCGTTGATGACTGAAAGACATCTTCTGCCTCCATTTATCTGTTTACTACAGTGTGTTGAAATCATGTTAATGCGTATTTAAAGACATTTCAATTAGTGGAAAAATTGAAGGGAATATAAATAAAAGTCTTATCAACCAAATCTTTCATGACCCCCATGCAGTACTTCTGTGGACCCCCTGTTTAAGACCTCTAATAAGGGTTAGGGACATGGAATTGTAATGATCCTGCATTTCTGTTCATTTATGCGACTTTCAAAGATACTGTGGTCATTAAGATACAGTATCCTATTCTGAACAAGTCATCAAAAACAACCTTAGAGGAAACCACTGTACAGGGAGAAGCCTGGAGCTAAATGCATCCATTGATGTCCAGGTTGTTGAATTTTTTTGACGCGATATATATTAGATGCTAAAATAAGCAGAGCTGTCATTGCAGTAAAGATTGCAACAGATTTTCATTGAATAAAAAGATGAACAACAACTGTAGGGATTTTTGTAAATGATTTATTTAACCTCATACAAAAACAAAACCAATCCACTTTAATTGGTCTTGTTCAGTTACTTCAATACAAAAACTGACAAACACTTTTAGACACTTTGCAAGTTAAAGCGCACAGTTCCAAGTCTGCATTTAAATTGGCGGCTGCCTCCCATCGGCACTTTGTTTCCTTTCCAGAGCTTTTTTTTGTCCCCAGTGACCCCAAAACATTTCTGCAACTCTTTATATTCACGGCAGGTTTTAGAAGAACAAAAAAACCAAACATGAGTAGCCAGTAACATTTACGCCTAATACAGATATCTGCTAAGGGGTCTTGTTTTTTTTTCTTTTTTAGGTTGGTCTGGTTGCATCTCTTGACCAGTCAGTGCTTTCAGTCTTTATTGGTAATGATTTAGTGAAGCCATCTTTATCCATTACTGATTCTGTTTGGTAATTTTCTGTTATCCATGCCGTTAGCCCATGAGGTATCCTCTGAAAAGAAAGACTTAAATTAGCACAGGTTAAAATGAAAATACCACATTCCCATCCTTAGAAGAAGCAAACATGGATTATTAAAAGCTGTTGATTTAAAAACAAAAAAATAAAGTAAACATAGCATCAACCTTCATTTAGAATCGAGCAACTATTGATCTCAGACTTACGGCAGTTTCATGCGCATGAAAACTCGGGCCATGAAGAAGCTGAGAAGGACGCTGACAAAGCCAATGAAAAGCAGCAGGAAGCGGTTGAGTTTGGGAATGTTTGGTGCGTTGGAGCGGTCCAGGATTATGAAGCCCAGGCCTCCCATGGTGAAGAGAAAACTGGAGGCTAACCCCTCCATAATGTACTGCCCATTAACTCTGAAATGGGAAAAAGGACAAATTAGTTCCTCTGCGCTGTTGCATTTTCTTTTTAACCATTTCTTTAAATACTTGTAAAAATGATCGTGATACCTGTATGCCAAAAAGGCAACTGGTCTCTGGTGTCCATGCTCATCAGTCATTGAACCCACACTTGGAGGTTCTACAATGACGTCATAAATAATACCTGCAGGTTGGATAAATAGATGTGGATTAAACATAAATAGATACAAACACAGGAGGAAATTTCAATTAAATTTGGGTTAATTATATAGCGCCAATTCACAACACAGGTCTTCTCATGGCACTTTACAGTTCACCAGATCATACAGTCAAATTGATTCAAAGTTTTCTATCCAAGGAAAACCAGTTGACTGAACAGACTCATTAACTCTTCAGCAATTGCTCACACTAAGCATGCTTGTAGCAAAGGTGGAGAGGAAAAACTCCCTTTTAACAGGAAGAAACCTCCAGCAGAACCAGATTCAGTGTGAGCGGCCATCTGTCGAGACCAACTGGGGTTCAAGGAGACAGAGAAACAGGACTACACTGGAAAAACAGGCTGATCTCCAACATCTATAAACAAAAGGTGTTGATGGCATCAGCACAGCTGATATTGCTGTCCAGGATGGTGTCACAGCCAAACAGGACTATTCCGCAGGAATAATTCTTAACAGATTAATGGTATTTTACATGTGAACTGACTACACCAGGTGGTAAAATTGAAATTTAGACATATATATCAGGCCCTAACTATGGATTTTTAATGCCAAAATCATAAAGATTTCTGGTTCAGCATATGTGAGGCAGTCACTAGCACTTTCCACAGCAGTTTGAGCGAAAGAAATACCCTCAAACCCAATTTTATGTGTTCTGCTGCTCAGTATACAGAATATACCTGCTAGCCATTTTTACTACATGGTGGCTTCAGTTTACAATTCAAACTACATGACATTAGGAGAAAAAGAATTAGCTGGAAAAGTTAACCCACCTTTCCATTAGCAAATAAAAATGCAGCAGAACACTTTCGTGCAACTAAAAAGACATTTCTAGTAAATAACGATACACATGCTATGCTAGCCGTATCTTAGCTTCAGTTACCTCCTGTGATGAGAAAGTATGATACAATGACGACCGCATACACGGTCATAGCCGACGGCATGTGAAGCCATGAGGGTTTCTTCAGTTTTATATTCGGACATTCGAGCACTGCAAACGGAATCCCATATAAAGTCTCCATGATTAAGGAAATTATTTCTCCCTTTCTCCTTCTCCACAACACTGCTTTACGCCGCTGGTTGGTGTGCGCGTGCGCACTCGCTTAGTTGACGTGTCCCGGAAGTGTATATTTATTTAGCTTTCCCTGTTACTTTTAAACATTTTGAAATAAAACCAACGCATGAAGTAGGTGACTTTAACAACAGAAAGAACATTTACGGATTGAATAAAATTAGAAACATAGATTTTTTTTGCAGATTCCATCAACGTGGCTTTACGTCACTTAAAGAGACAGTAACAAAAAAAACGTCCCCAGAAATAAATTTGACTATTTGAAATTTTTTTGCAATTTTGTTATAGTAGCTGTTCAACAATAAATTCCGAAAACAAGATGGACAAATAAGGATATTGTGCCACGGTGAACAACGGAATGTTATTTATCATATTGAAATCAAGCTTTTTTTTTTTTACTTAATGAATTCAAGAACATTTAATCTTTTGTAACAAGGTTAATAAGTAATACATATTGGGAAAATTGGATACAAGTTTTCTATTTATTATTTAGGAAAAGGAACGGAGATATAGTATGAAAAATGAATAAGCATATAAATAGTTTAAGAAGGAATTTTAGACTAGTTATCCAGTTTTAGAAAATCGACAGCTGTCAAAGAAAAAGCACCAATGTTTGCGAATTATTTTTTTTAAAATACATAGTCCAAGTAATAATAATATCTATATATCTATATATATATATATATATATATATATTTAGTTTATTTATATAGCACCAATTCACAACACGTCATCTCAAGGCACCTTACAAATTGATTCAAGTTTTCTAAGGAAAACCAGTTGATTGCATCAACTCATTGACTCAAATGCAATCCCTCACACTAAGCATGCTTGTAGCGACAATGGAGAGGAAAAACTCTCTTTTAACAGGAAGAAACCTACAGCAGAACCATGCTCAGTGTTAGCGGGCATCTGCCGAGGCTGACTGCGGTTCAAGGAGACAGAAGTAGAGATACAAAAAGCAGCTGTAAAAGGCGGCCCCGTCCAGGAAACACACAGACAGTCAGAGGTTGAAGAGAGCACATCCAGCCAGTCACAGTCAGACAAAACAGGACTACACTGGAAAAACAGGCCTAACTGATGGAAGAATAGAGATAGAACTAAGCACAATGATGTAGGAAATATAAAAAAAATCTGAGAAAAAGAGTGAATGTTCAAAAAATATTACATGGAAAGACGCCATTTGTATTACCAAAAACATGAAAGAAAAAGACTATAGGCTAGATGCTTTATCATGCTTCAGTAAAATACAAAAAAACTTTGAATGCAAAAACTAACCCTTTTTAATAAGGGTTAATTGCACATTTATTTCTACTTTACTTTAAATCTTTTATTAAGGGTTAATTGCCTAAGCACCATAGTGGTTTTGGAAGGGGAAGGAAAAATATTTCCCAGAGAGACTTCAGTCCAGCTGGAGGTGACTGGGATATCAAGATTTTAGCACACTAGTGTGTTTACCATGCTGGTCCTCATGGGAAATGTAGTCTTTCAAGCAAAACAATGCAGCTTTTGTCCCTATGGACAAACCAACTTGACAAATAACTGGAAGCTCTTTCAAAGAGCTTTAAATGAAGAACTTTTATTACACAGATATAATTGCATAGCTACTTTTAGTTGAATGGATTAAACTACTGAGACCATTAAGAGCTGTTTTTTAATCAGAAATATGTCGATATTTTATTAGAAATTTAAGTTATTCAGGTGATGAGGTTAACTGTGGAATTTTCTTTCACATAGGGGTGAAAGGAAATATACAGGAAGATAAGAGGGCCAAATCAGTCATCCAATAAAAGATTTGAGAAGATCATATAAAATAACTGGCTTACAGATTACAGAGGAATGCTGGGAAAGTTAGAAGGAAAGCAAACAGGAACAGAAAATGGCAAAGAATCATTAAGACTACAGTTGGGACTTAGACATATTCATATGTAGAAAGATGTGAATTCTCTGGTGAAAGTGAAACAATGTGCTATATATAAATACAAGAAACATAATTAGTAAGAAGCCTTAAATGGAAAAAAATTTAAACGGGGCTTTACATTGAAACAGATATATCGAATCCATTAGAGGGCAGTGTTCACCTATTTAATGGCATTTGACAAAATGGTTTAAGTAGCACAATGGATGAGGCAACAGCAAGTGAGGGGGGGAAAAATTGAAAGAAAAAAAACCCACCAGCTAGTTAGCTGGTTAATGGACCTTAACTAGGTAGGAGGTGTTCCCTGTCAAAGTGGTCAGTGAAAATGTGGACACAGTGCGTGCATAGGAACATGTTCTGCATTCCTAGAACTCCATCTCGAATTCAGGCCCCAACCTTATATTTCTGGACCTGTTCTCTGTAATGGCCCTAATTAACCCTTTAAAGCCCGATCCAAGAATAAAACAAAACAGAAAATAGCTTTTTTTTTTTGTTTGAAGTCCTTATTCGGCCTTTTAACAAAATATGTAAAAAGAAAAAACAGAAATACATTTTTGATAATTTACTATGCGATAAGTCAAGATTATTTTTGTGTAGCCTTCTGTTATCAGGTATATCTGATTGTGTACAATTGGATTTTGAGCCAAGTTTTTACCATTAAATTATTCAAAAGGTGTCAGACACAAAACATTTCAGAAACCGTATGTATCAAATTTAATACTTTTCGCATTATAGGGTTAAGGATGACTGGGGTTAAGCTGGAAACCCACCTGTGTGTCCAGGTGTTGAGAATTAGTGGGACAGATGTGAATTTTCCCATTGTTACCATACTGGAATTGTTAGACAGGAAGCCTCTGATTGAGGAGTGAAGTAATACATACAAGCCTAAATTATGGAGTTTCAGAGTCGGTATGTCCAAAATGAGGGCTTTAAGACAGAAATCCATTAAAATGCATTGATTATTAAAAAGGTAACTCAGTTTTTATACCATTATTTTGAAAACAAGTTTACAAAACTTGCTGCACATATCTTGATGGTCCTTTTGTTCAGAGCTGTTAAATCTTAGCCAGCATCTCCAAACTTGAGATTATATACACTGAATAACCAAACCACAACTTCAACACAACTGATTTGTTGGCCATTTTTATTTATTGTCACAATACAAATACAGATTCTACTTCGACTTCTGGCTCTGTGCTTGTGCCTTGAGCACCTTGACAACGATCTTCTGCTCCTCAATCAAGAAGGCACGCTTGATCCTGCAAATCACAAAAAAGAGAAACTTAGTACACTTTCAAAACTGGTCAAATGTTTTGCCCATAACACTGAATCTGTAAATGGTGGGGGGAAAAAAGGTAGCAACTTGCTTAAAACTAGCCTAGCGGATCTTTTGAAATCCACACTGCAAAATCAATCTAGGAATAAGTGAAAATGTATTAAAGTGTACTTGCTCTTAATTTGAGTAAATAGGATGATTTGCCAATGGAATTTGTATGTTTAGTCTTAAAATAAGCTAATTAGAAAATGTGCACTTAAAACGGGACAATGCAATATTTTTAGTTATTTTTAACCGAGTCTCACTAATGTCAATTCAAGAGGGAAAAAATGACTTATTTGAAAAGAAAAAAATTTAGATTTAAATTTTTTGCAGTGCATAAAAGTAGTCTGAACAAGATCAATGCTTAATATGGGCATCATTCCAAACTCACAGCAACAAAGTCCTAAAAATTGAACTAAGGTCTCTCACCTGTCACGCACAGACTTGGCGCACATGGATCCACCATAGGCCCTGCTAACATGCTTCTTGGTCTTGGAAAGCCTCTTCAGAACCTGAGGTCTAACAGCGCGGATCTGTAACACAAACAAGTCATGAGTACAGAAGCTTTGGCTTTTAAGAAAACATGCTCACATTTGGATCAAACCTCAGGTTTACACCATTTCTCAGTAAGCTGAGAAATATTCAATTCCATAGCCTCATTCTTAACTCAGTCTGCAGTTTAAATGTTCAAGTTTAACAAGAGAGAACCATGAACCTAAAAAGCCACAACATAAAGAGCTCTATAAGTGAACTACAGAAATTTTAACCTAAAACAAAATTTTAAGAAGACAGGGCAAAAAAACCCAAAAACAATCTAACAGATTTTTTAAATGAAATCGACCCATTATATATATATAAAAAATGGACAGCACTATTAATTCTAACTCCTAAATTGAGAAGGGGCTTCTTTTCCCAGCTTTTATTGTCATTACACAGTCACAAGTATAGAGCAATGAAATGAACTCTGCATTTAACCCATCCCCTTGGAGAGCAGTGGGCTGTTGGGTTAAGGGTCTTCTCTCAGAGACCCAGAGTGGCAGTCTGTGGGAGTTGGGCTCAAACTCAGAACCCCAGGATACCAAGCTCTATGTCCTAACCACTAGGCCGCCACAGCTTGAGTCAAGCTGATATTTTAAGGGTCAGGGAAAAACTACAATCGTTGGCCTCCAAACCAAACAATGCTTTCTTTTCCACAAATGATGTGCTGTATTCAAACTGATGCCGTGGATAAAATCCTGAACAAATTCACACTAAGTGTTATCAAATTTGGATTAGAGTAAACCATTTGGTCCAACACCATAACCTTCTATGCATTTAATATTACTTTATAACGTGTTCTCACAACTGCGCAGAAGGAACAGATGAGCCTCCCTGCAGCTACGGTGATTTAAGTTAAATATTCGCAGTCGGAATAGGAATACATTTATTTCTCTTTCTGCCAAAAATGTTGAATTGTCCATGTTGTTTAAAGTTTTGAGATGGCAGATGAACTGAAAACGCTTAAAACAGCAAAGAACGGGCTAAAGAAAACTAAAACTCCCCCCTGAACTTAAACAATTTCCACATTTGCATTTGGTTTAAATGGACAGAAGCCTAAATATGCAGACTGCAACATAACACCTAAAATCTATTTAGGTGTTATGTCAGATTTGTTTCCTTGTGTAAATCATAATATGCTTAAGTCTTCAGACATATGGCTTTTAAAGTTCATCCACAGCAAAACTGTTGACACAAAAATGTTTTGTCAAACAGTAAAATTAGCATTGTTAGCACACATGAATGAACTGTCCAGATA